TACAACGCTAGAATCCGGGTTTCGATACCCGTGGTGGGAAGAGCACAGATAGCCCATTGTGTAGCTTTGTGCTCCCCTTGTGGCTCAGCAGTAGGTCTTATTTCTCATACTACTAAGAACTGGGTTTTGATACCCTTGTTGGGCACATCACAGGTTGCCCATTGTGTTCAAAACCAAACAAACAAAATGCATAGACAATAATTACTTCCATAACTTTAGGCCCAATGTCTTAATTAGCATACAACACAGTGACTATCTTATGGGTTAACAGAGAAGACAAGTTTTAAGTTCCAGATATAGTTAACAAAACACATGTGGTGAAAGAAGTTTAATATATTGTTGAAGGAAAAATTAGATTCACATAAAAATGCCACGTTCATTAAACTATGGAATAAAATTAAAAGCGAATTTTTAAAAACGTGTCCTGTGATTAAGTGTAAATAAATACATATGCATATATAGTGTAAATATGGAAATGTGCTTGTATGAAATATTATAGAACAACCTGGCAAAATTAAAGTATATAATAGGCTAGTTTCAAAAACCTTTACTCTTGTTATTTATATCTTACTGTAAAATCGTTTTATTTATAAAATACTGGGTACATCGTCATGAAATTTTTATCACTCAGTTTAGGTCAAACTTAGCATCATTTGATGTTCCTAAAAATTGAAGATTTGTTTTTAATATTCACGCTCATTTTCAATGGTTATCAAGAAAATTGAATCTTGTACATAACTTTACTTTTGTTTACTACTTACTCAGTGAATTCTGACATACTGTTTTTTGAGAATCTCTTGCGTTTCTAGCTTGCCATTGTAACTTTGTGTATCATCTTTAGAACACTGGAGGAATCAGCTAAAATGCCTTGTGCAATATTGGGATCTTAACATTTCAATTAAGACTAGTTTTTGAGAAGTTTTGTATAATTATTTGTTCTGCTTTAAATAAAGGTCTATGTGTTTTGTACTAATTCTAAATTTACTTTTGCTTACATATTCCTGTTCATTTACTTTTTTTGTTGAGATTTTACCCTTTTTGAAACAAATTTTGCTTCATGTATGCATTTTAAAACGTTTTTGTTAACTCTCTCCCATTTCTTAGACTGATTCTTACTGTTGTTTACTTTTGAGTCATTTGATTACTCTTCTGCAATTTACTTTTCATATATGATTTCACACAGCAGTATTCCATGTATTTATAGTCCATGATAAAGTAGCATTTCAATTAAGGTGTCTTTTTAGAATGTTACTTTACTAAATATGTTGTTGTCATATAACTTTGCTTTCCCATTACTATTTTAAATAGGAAAATATTTTTTTTTTACCAGAATCTAAAACAGTGGTGGGCAATCTAGGTTATGTGTGAGCCATAAAACACACCCAAGGGTAACAAGACCCCCCCCCCCACTAGAAAAATTTTACTGTTGCGCCAGCGGGTAACTTGACTCCGGGACGCAACGATTCTGGAACAATAATGT